ACTCATAAAAGTTGCTAGCAAGCAAACTCACTAATTTAATTCACAACACACCATTATGTAAATATTGAATTTTTTATTAAAAAACCAGCAACTTTTACCCAAAATCAGGCAAAGCAGGCAAGCAGATTGAGTTGCTCACAGAATCACAGATTCATTCAGAGATCTATCATTCTGCAATCCGCTACCTGAGTCTGCACTGAAAAATAGAAGCTAGGAAGGTTCAGCTCAGCTTTTAGATTAGCTAGAAAGCAAGTAATTCAACAATTTCCTGCTTTCTAACTAATCTAAATCTCCTGGCATAGCTGATACTCAGAACAGCTGATGGTCGGAAAATAAAAGGAAAAATAGCAACTTACTGAAAATTAGGCTAACGCAAGCAAGTTGGATGGCGTGCATGCCAGGTAAGGAGTGAGTGGATGGAGAGGGGAGGGGCCAGCCAGTGGTGCAATTTGCTGGTTCTCTGAACTGGGCAGAATCATAACAACCGGTTCTATAGAACCGGACCAACCAGGTAGAATCCCACCCTTGCATTTAACTGGCAAACAATTTCATCTGATTTTTTGGGTTGGAAGGTAGATCAACTTTGGAGTTTTTTTATTATATTTAATCAAACAGCAATTGATAAAAGATTGCATTAAGAAACAAACATGAATATTTGATCCAGAACAAATTACTATTAACTCTTGGAGTGATTTGGGATAGACAAGATGATATGGTAAATTTTCTACTAATTGATTACAATAACCACTTGTTAACATATAGTTTTGAAACTTGAGTCTTGCCTTTTTATTATTATTGTTCTTGTTAACTACGTTGTCATTAATATAACATATAGATGACAGGTTACTAATTTGCAAATTATTTAGTAATTTAGTAACATTTTTATTTAGTAACATTTTGGGGCTGTTTTGAAAGGGGTGGGAAACTAAGGTTGTAGTAATGTATTAATCAGTATTCAATTAAAGAGGTAATACGTGTATATATGTTAGTTTTCTAAATGTCTTGTTTCTTTTGTGTTTATTTTTTGTAGTTTTGTATTTTAGCTTTCTTTTAATAAAATAACAATGTAACCAAAAGAAAAAAAGAAAAAAGATAGACAGGCATAGGGAGTTGGGCAACATTCCTTAGTGGCTTCGGCAGGGCTAGGGCTGAAATCAAGGCCTGGGGCTTTCAGCTGGCTAGGCCCAATGCTTCCTCCGATGAGTGATGCATTGCAGTCTAGGTTGTGAGAACTGTGGTTTTGCATTATACTCAACAATCCACCAGCTCATGCATGGCCTGTGCATGGCCTTCCAGGACATCCTTCACAACCTGAAGCACACCTCACTCTGCTTAATATAATGGATTGCAGTTGTTGAATGATGGAATCCCAACCTCATTTAACAACTGCAATGACTTACAATTGAAATTCCAGTCTCAGTTGTGTTGTGTTAAGACTATCTATATACAAGTATCAAAGTTGCTTATTATGTCTCAAGTCACTTTGCAACAAGATGGGCAACAAAGAAATTTAACAAATAAAAATATATCAGATAATGTTTCAAAAATAAAAAGAGTTAGAAGCATTCCCTGATTGGGAAAGGAGGTAATGTTAAGAAGAAACTTAGGCTAGCTCCTCCCTGACTCAGTGAGGTGTAAAAAGGAGGTAAGGAAAAATACAATCAGACTTACAAGATTCTGTTAATTTAGCCCAGGGGTGTCAAACTCAATTTCATTGAGGGCCGCATCAGGGCCGTGGTTGACCTCTGGTGGTCAGTTTGTTGCCACTCCCCAAACTGCTGGCATGTTTCTTCTTTGCATTGGGTAAACCAGGCCGACACCACACTGGCCTGATCTTTCCTCTTTGCATCGAGTAGAATGGATAGAAGCTATGGTGGCCTGATCTTTCTTTGCACTGAATAGACCAGGATGGCCATGTGGGCCAGATCTGACCACATCACGGGCCGAATCCAGCACATGGGCCTTGAGTTTGACACCCCTGATTTAGCCAATCTTAAAAATATGAAATATTCTTTTGAAATTCGTTTTCCAGAATAGACAGCTTTGAAGTGCTGATACTCATATAATTGTTCTGAGTTGTCTCTGGGTCTTCTTTCAGGTGAAATCATAAATTTCAAAAGAATCTAGGTTTGGTTCTCGCAAACCAGAGGTAATCTGGGCTACTACACTGAATGTCCTCCTCAGAGGAAGCCTTCTTAGTGTTTAATATATAGAACAATTAACTCCCTCAATAAGAACAAATTATTAAATGACTGTTTAGAAGTACAGTTTCTACCCGTGGGCTGTCAGACTTCTGAATGGAAAATAACTTCATGTCAACATAGTATGACAGACTTGCAGGGCTGGCACATTGTACAACAAGGTCACATAGTTTAATAAGATTGGGACTAGGTTAGGGACTTCTGTCCTCATTGTGAGTTATACTGGGGGGTGCGCACAAAGGGAGGCTCAGCCAATCTCATTGTACACATGTTGTACTATGTATTATGAAGGTAATAATAATGAGATATGAGGTGCAATTACAGCCCCTTAATTTCTATTTCCTTGACTCCTGATAACTATATGGACAAGTTCACATAGAGTTCTGGACACCATTTGTTGAAATAGTTTGCCACTGACTTTTTCCTAGAGCTGATGGCCCAGGCACTGGCCAAAAGTTACCCATCTGGTTTCTTATGCTTGGGCAAGTATAGAAGTCACACCTGCCCACTCCTATTTCAATTCCTTAATCACTTACTTGTTATAATTATTTACATTTTTTGAAAAAATCAGTATCTTTTTTAAAAATTAAAATATAAAATGCAGACATATGCCCACAGCACCAAACTTTAAGATAAAAAATTGTTTCTTCAATGTCATAGAACAGTGGAGGCTTTTGGGGCTCCCATGCCGAAAATTGCGTGCGTGTAAGGGGCCTGTTGTAATCTAGTCAAAAGAAAACTATAGTTGAACAGCATTGGTAGTATGCTTTTGAGAAATTTATGATGAAGTTGCTTGTATTTGCATAACTTCAGGTAATGCATTCATAAAAGTGGAACTACAGAAATGTCCTTCTTATCTTACTGGATGAGTTTTAGTTTTAAGGGCTGAGGAGGTGGACAAGGTAGTTGAATATGTTTTGTCTACCATCTGTGTGCTTTCTTTCTTTCTTTCTTTCTTTCTTTCTTTCTTTCTTTCTTTCTT